GATGGATTACTATAATACCTGTCCAATGCAAAACACTTTACCAGAGATGGATTATTATGATATCTTGCTCGTACATGATTTGGTATTGAGCTTGAATTACTTTTATAATATTTGTGTCTAATACTTTTTATATGAGACTGAAAGTAATAGTACTGAAGTGATCTAAGCCTTTTTGTCTCGGGATTTGATTTATATTTTTGCCTCCTACTACTGTTCACCACTGCACTACCATTAGCCCACTTGAAAGATGTTTGAACAGGTTAAAGTATGCTCATGTGTTGGTATTTGTTTGGTTGAATTATTCTGACAAGAATATGCATCTAAGCTACACTTAGCTATGCCAACTGGATGTCCAGCTGCCACATTATTCTGTGCATTAACAACTGGATGTTCAGTTGATGTATTTCAGCCTGGGGATTCACATATTATGTCAACAAGACTTCCAAAATTAAAACCAGCATCTTTCTCAGTGCCAACTGGACATTCAGAAGTCATGTTAAAGCTAATATCTGTTGTAAAATTGCAAGGTACATTTACATTGCTACATATATGCATGCTATTTTTTTTCTATATATCCACATGAGCATACTGGTTTTTTTAACTTGCATATTGCTTTTGCAATTAGGAAAAAGACCTGGTCCAGGGTAATTCTAAATGTCCCCACAACAAAGGAGGAACACAACTTGTTGCTATAATATTCCTTGTACTTCACTGTGTGGGTAGGATACAATGATTATCAGCAGCCATACCATCATGTTTGCAAGTACCAAAGTTTAAGGAATCTCTAAAGCTTCCGATAGCAGCCCACCATTGCTCTATAGAAATCATCCTCCCTCAATGTAACATATGTTTATATGTTTTTACATGTTTTTTTAATACCTATATAGCTAACTGTACACATATACCTTTATTATACATGTATTTAACAACAAAAAATCCTTGCTAATGTTAGCACTAGGCACACACACAACAAGTTAATACCACTCTTCAATAGTGAGTAACAGTGAAAACTTACAAAGCTTTTATATTAGTAAGTACATGTGAATAAACTGTGGACAGTAAACACACATTCCTCACATAGTGAATAATACTGGAAAACAGTGCACATGAGTATATAGGCTTGTGGGTATGGAAAATAAACTTATGAATTAAACTTACAAACAGATGTATTAACTTGGACGACGAAGTAATGGCTGTCAACAAACAATTAAAACTTACGAGTCTCGTTGTTTGCACTGAAAGCCAGTTTAAATTCCATCCATTGGTGCAGGTGATTTAAAATTTTACAAGGGGAGTGTGGTACACAAGAAACAGAATGCCAAGCACTTTACAAGAAAACTATGTGTCAGAATTCCCCAAAATTTTCACAAAGACAAAAGTGATGGTATTGTTTGTCCTTGGATAGTTTAAAGAAAATTTGAAATATAGATTTTGTTTTAGCGAAAACCAACCCTGTAGGCCACAAAACTTATTGTTTTGAGCCACAAACATTGTTGCTGGTAGAGTGAGCATGAAGGAAGTAGTGATATTAATTTCACAGCTATCAGATCAAGATTGAGATGATGGCTAAGGTTTGAAAATTAAATGTGCAAGCCCCAAGAACAAATTGAGTGTGCGAAAACAAACAATATGGTGAGATTTGGCTAGGCTATATCTCGCCAATGATTCCAAGGATTCATTTCATTTTTGATGTGCTAACTACTAATGTCTTGATGGTTTACAGTCTCAATTATCTAAGATGTAGCTGTTACAATGGGTAAGTTTCAGTGGGGCTGACTTTGTACATCACCATGTTGTGTAAAAAGACTCTCAGTAGTAGCTGCATTTTTTGGAATATGTGTGCTTACTTTTCCTTGGTCGCATTACTCACTACTGTGAGTCTTGATCAACTAATATTCAAAAATTTATAATCACATTTAAGAAGATTAGAAAAGTTTGTTTAATTGCATGTATGAACATGTATTTGTAGTATACTTGAATTTATTTTTGTTGCTAAGTTATATATTATGCTTCTTTAGTTACTCTAGACTAGAGCTGATTGATTAGTAGAATTTGCTAATCAATTAATAATTGGGCTCATTAGTCAATTGCATTCAACTAATCTATCATTCTTACATGATAAAGTCAACACAGTTAGGCATGCCTGGTAAATTTAAATATTTTTCACCCAAATATATTTTCATTTATTTTCAAATAATGGTAAAATAGTCTTGTATTAGTGTATTAAGTTAAGCAATGTAATTTTATTTAAAATATAATTGTAATGTTTGTGAGTGCTGAGTTTTTAATGCGTATGAAGTTGCTGTAAAAAACAGCTTGCAGCTATGTTTCCATTTCATTTCTGGATGTAATATATTTTGGATTTTTAGAGAAAGTTTGGAATATTTAAAAAATGAAAAAAAAAACAGTTATTCCATCAAAAATGTTAAATAATGAAGTTATGAAGAAAAACTATGTGCCCTGTTGAGTATGCTTCAAGTTTCACTGGTCACAGATAATTGCCCAATTAATTTTAATTGTTATTCAACATGTACTAAATTAGGATTCACTGAATAAATAGAAATGCAATTGCTTCTTTTCTAATTAATCACAACTCAAAGTGATATGAAGTGCACTAATTGTGCTTTATACCAATTCACTATTTTCTTTGAGATTTTTGAAATTTAGAATATTTAGTAAAGTCCCTACACATGAGATCAGTATTCCCATTTCCAACTTTTCATGTTTTTTCTTAGACGTTTTTAAGCTACTCTTCATTTAATATGATATCTTCAGATACAACCATTTAGGATTAAAGTACTTTTTTAATCCTAAACTGTTGTACATGAAAATTTAACACACACAATGTAGCACAAACCTGTAATAAGTTAAAGATATAATTACTAATTTTACAGTTTTTTGGGTTTCTCCCTTCAAATTTTCATAAGACTACTAAAATTTATAAATGTTTTTGCTGATAATAAACATTACTTGGTGTCATTGATTATAAATCAGAAAAGTTCTAAACATTGTAAGGTTTTATAAAAGATTACCCTTGTACATACTTTTAAAAACAATTTTATCAGTACAGTAAGAGGTGCTGCATGACCAATCAGAATCAGTATGGTTGAGAAAAGAGTATAATATTGCTATGGAAAACTAGGATATCTATCATTAAAGAAACTAATCTTTGTTAAAAATAACTGATGTTCAAAAGAAAGAGTATAACATTGTTACAGACAACTGGGATATCTGATGGTAGTACACTATTAGTAAATAAAATAATTCATCATTAAAAGTAATTGACCTTAGATTTCATGTCATAAAACTAGTTAAATTGTTACAGTGTGTGATACATAATTTATAATTCAATGAAAATTTCACTCTGTTCCTAGAAAAACAAAGACAGTAAAACATTTACTATTTGGCAAGAAATCTTGTTATATTAGATTAACTTTGTGATGAGATTACTGTGATTCATAAGGTGGAGATTCAAGTACCATAAGAAATAGTAAAAACATAGACATTCCAAAAAAAAAATCTGTATTAACTACTTTAAAAGAAATAAAAACATTCTAAACTTTTGAGTGAGAAGTTGTTTATGCAATGGAAGTTTAGAAACAAACATTAAGATATTAATATTCAATACAGGCTGGAAGAAATGATAGAAACACACGTGCATGCTGAGAAATTAATACATCAAATAACTTAATGAAAGTGTTTATTAGAACAGCCAGACATTTCTCACTTAAATGCTTCCTATTTAGTTAGAACTATTCATGATTTCATGTATATAGGTTAACAACTTAATGGTGTTACATACTTTAAAATGTTATTAATCCATGTCTAGTCATTTTTGACAAACACAGTTAAGTAAACAATGTATTCAACATTTTTTGACCCAGTAAAGAATAATGGATATTAACTTGCTGTAACTTTTTTTTTTGTTTGTTAAAGCAGTCTTACTCTTAACTAATGCTGGTTGTGTTTATAGATTCTAATAAGTTCAGTCCTTTGGGAATTGGGCAATTGTGTATGAGTGCATTTTCTTGGGTGCACAATTTCGTGACTGAAGTGGAACTTGTAATTTTATCTTTCACAAGCAATTAAAAAATAAAAGGTAAAAATAGCATTATACATCTAGTTCAAAGTTTTAATAATATGTTATATTACATTTATATAAAATATTATCTTCCATGTATTGTCAATTTTAAAATTGAGATAAACATTGGATTTTATGTATTACGAACTGAATGGAGATAAATGTAATTGTTAAATAATTTTGTTTTTAATAGCTGTTTACTGTTGCACTGTTACAGTGAGTTTTAATTTTTAGAACAATCAAGTAATCCCACATTGTGAAGTTGTATTAGCTTGTCACAAAACTACATGAGACCAGTAGTAGAAACTATGAAGTGAAATTTACAGCTGTGGTACTGGATACATATGTATAAAATAGGTTGTAAATTGTTCAGTGTTTAAGCTTTAACCAGGTGCAGAACATTTAAGAAATTTTTTGAACCATTTAACCGCTATGTATCAGACTGATTATACAGAGACCACTGAAATAATGTTAAGCAAAAAATATATTGAAATATGTTAATTACAAAAGTAAAAGCAAAACAAGAAATCTTGAGACAAATATATTAAGAACAACTTTTTTGTTTTTCCTTCCTATTGTATAATTGTTGTCATATCAATGTTCCCTCAAAATTTTCTTTGTACTAAGTGGGAAATGAACTTTGATGAGCATTACTATTTTGCCCTTTTGTAGTCTTATATATTTGTAGTCTTCTTACACAGAATTAATTGTTAACGTCACAGTTCAATATCATGCTTACCCCTTAGTCATTCATTTTTCATTTCTTAATAAGCTAGCTTTGTACGTGCATTGAATTGTGTTAATTTCAAGGATGGATAATTATTCTTTTAAACCTCTATTTTATGTATTGATAATGAGAAATACAATAGAAGCAAAACCAAAGGTAAAGTTCTTTTTTTTTGTTATTACTCATTTTCAGTAAGAGGGTTACCAATCTGGCAACTCATACTGTCTCTCAACCAGTTACATGTATTCCTGGAATGTGTAGGATTTCTTGTGGTCACTGTCACAGCACCTTCTTGGTAAATTCTTTTTTATTACTAATAACCCTTAAATAGCTAGCTTAAACTACAAGTATCTTAGATAACATATGCTTGAATGAATATAATATTTTACTGTATATTCATGTCTACCTTTGTGTCAGTATAGGTCTTTAACCACTTCTTTGTAAACAAGTTTCTTTTTAAGTGTATGGAAAACTAAAAAAGTCATAAAGTATCCTTTAAACCTATGTTTGTTTCTGGTTTAGTTTTAAGCTAATTAGTATTGGATAAATTATAACTTAGAGTTGTCACATCCCTCAAGATATAGTTAAAGCAAAAAAGGCCTTGCTATGAGATAAATATCTTGCGCTTTTTAAAATATATTCATATCTTGGACAAGTAGAATAAGTAATGTAATAATAAGTAGACAAAGCAACATTTTGCTACGCCTCCAGTCGTTAGTCAATTTTCCGTAAATTTGTTGATGCTCACAAGGGTTTGCTGAGACGCAGAGTCTATGACAAAGTTGCACCTTTGGCCATCCAGCTTTCCTGTCACGTACATATTATATATGCTTGCCATTTTACACTTAGCTGTTGGGACTTTCACAATGGAGATT